TGAAACGTTTATGCACTCTAATTAAGCATCATTTCTATGTTCATGTATGTTTGTTCTGCTTGAATGCACCAAATAATAACGACTTGTTAGATTTAGGTTTTGTTGCTCTTGTTATTCACGAGTTTTATTTCCATTTTCCAAACCCATTGATTTGTTGTATTTTTTAGGTTTGATTCTTGGCTTTAGTTTCTCTGATAGATAGCAAGTGTGAGAGTTAGTTTAATTTTGTGAGCTTGAATCTTCTTTGGGTGAGGGATTTGAGTGAAGAGGATCCTCTTTTATTTTACTTTTTTTGGAAAAATGGCCATGAGGGAAGAGCGAGCTTAGAGAGATGAGAGAAGGAGAACATGGATTGAGAGATAAACTTTGGATCTGAGAAAAAAACAAGCAACAAAGGGGGTGGCCACCTTCATCCCATCCGCATCTCTCATTTATAATTGTGTTTGGGTAATTTAGGCCTTTTGTGCCCTTTTAGAACTTTATCTCTTGGTTTCTCACAACAAAACAAAGAGGTTGTCCTACATATACCTCTTCCTCAAGCGGTCTATTCAAAAATGTAAATTTGATGTCCATTTGGTAAAATGGGCCAGTTGTGCTTATTTGCAATACCAACAACAAGTCTAATGGTTTAAATCCTAGCAACCGGTGAAAATACCTCTTTAAATTATATGTCTTCTCTTTGCAAAAATCTCTTAGCAACCAATCAAACCTTATGATTGATTATTTCACCCTTGGGATTTTCCTTCACTTTGAACACCTATTTCATACCAATTGGCTTATTTCCATCTGGCAGGTTAACTAACTCCCAAGTATTGTTCTTCTTAGTGGATTCCAGCTCCTCTTTCATAGCACCAATTCAATTTGGATAACTTAAATCCTCTTCCATTTTAACAAGTTCGAATTCGACCATAAGTGAAAAATGAATGAAATCACCATCATCATTGAATTTGTTGTGAACAAATTACAATCTTGGAGTCTTTGAGGTAAATATCTTTTCCTTGTTGGTCTTCTAATATTTTCTTCAATTCAGGCTTCGACAATGAGCTGTTCTACACTTCCTTTTTTTGTTGAAGAATTTGGAATTTCGAAGCTGTAGTAGATCATTTCTTTTTGGTAACTGGTTAACGACTGCATGTAACCGGTTAACGACTATATGTAACTAGTTAACGATTGCTCCACTTTCTTCAATTCATCGGCCACCATGTCTCAACTGATTACGATCCTCCTATTTGCAACATCAAATAATTTGTAACCACCGGTAGAGTGATACCCTACAAGTATCACCATTCTCCCTTATCATCCAACTTCTTTCTAAGCTGTTCTGAAACACGTCAGTATACTACGGAACCAAAAAAATTCGAATTGTTCAGATTCGGTTTGAATCCTGACCATGCTTCCTTCGGTTTTACATTCTCAAGCTTCTTCATATGATATTCAACAAATAGGCAGTTATGGACACCACTTCTCCCCATAACTCTTTTGACAAGTTCTTCCCCTTTAAAACATTTCTCACCATGTCCATGATCGATCGGTTCTTCCTTCTCACCATGTTCATGATCAATCGATTCTTCCTTTCAGCTACACCATTTTGATGTGATGTATAAGGTGGTACTACCTCATGTACAATCTCTTCTTGATCACAAAACCTTTCAAAGTCATTTGAGACATATTCGTCTCCATCGTCCGTTTTGAGCACTTTGAATTTGTGACCACTTTTCCTATCAACCATGGACTCGAACTTCTTAAACACTTCAAATACCTCATCCTTTCTCTTTATTAGTTATGTTCATAAATTTCTACTATGATCGTCGATAAATGTGACAAAGTACCTACTGCCACAAATGGAATCTACTTGCATCGATCCACACACATCCGAATAGACCATCTCAAGGTGATTTTTGGTTTACAACCTGCATCCTTGCTGAATTTATCCTTTTGTTGTTTTGCTTGCAGATATTCTTCACAAAGTTTAGCTAATATGTTGATTGATGGAAGCCCCGTTACTATTATATTCTTTTGCAAGTCTTTGAGATCTCTAAAGTTGAGATGCCCAAGACGATAATGCCATATCCACTATTATCGACTTACTGCAGTAGCAAGACATTTATGATCCATAACCTTCACCTTAACCTTAAAGGTTCTATTGGCAACCATAGGCGCTTTAAAGACCAAAACTCGCTTTACATCCATAACACGCAACCCTTTGTTTTCCATGGGAAAGTCTTGTAACCTTTCTCAAGTAATTGGCTAATAATTAGAAGGTTACATTTGATTTATGGAATGTACAAGACATCTTTGATCAAGGAATGTCCACCACCCCTTCTCATGATCAAAACGTCATTGATCCCATCGGCCGCTAGAGTGGTGTCATCCGTGAACTTCACTTTATTCTTCATGACACGATGGATTTTGACTAACCAATTATTTCTCCCCGTCATATGAGTAGAACAACCCAAGTCCAAGTACCATTCCTCATTGCACTAAACTTCTTATGTACTTATCATGGTATTTTCTTCTACATGTAACCGATTAACCATATCATGTAATTGGTTACAGCTCAATTTTGCAGCATTCCTTGAATTGTTGCTGCTGCCGTTGCATTCTCCTTTAGTGATCATGAACAAGAGTGTATTCTATTCATCAAACTATTATCTTGAAACCTTGACTTCATCTCTTTAAGGTTCCTTCTTGTTCGCATTGCAGCCCCTTGCAAAATGACTGAACCTTTGACACTTAAAGCACTGATTTTTGCTTTTGTCAAACCTCTTCTTTTCACCTCTAAAGTTTCTTTGACCATATTTTTGTTGTAGTTTCTCTCACCCATTTGACAAGTCAAATTTTTTGAATCTTAGGACTCTCTTCCACCAAAATTTTATGAAAATTCCCTTTACTCTTCATGAACCATTTTCCTTTCGATCTCTTGTCATTCTCATTGAAGCGAGCTTGGAAAGCAATATCCGCCTTTCCCTTATCATTATTTCTCATTCTTTGCTCATGAGCCACAAGAGAGATTTGCAACTCCTCTTTTCTCATCGTCGTAAGGTCATTTGATTCCTCGATCGCCACAACTATATTGTCAAATCTTCGTGTTAAAGATCGCAATATTTTTGTGACAATATACTGCTCTGTGACAATTTCTCTGCATGCCTTGACTTGGTTCATCAACCGAGTGATTCTCGTTATGAAATCATTGATTGTCTCATTTTCTTCCATTTGAATCAATTCGACTTGACGCTTGTGAGTTTGTAACCTCACCACCTTCGACTTGTCAGCCCTTGCATAGACCTTCTCTAAGATCTCCCACCCTTGTTTTGAGAACTTGCACTCACCAACTTTTTCAAAATTGTCACCATCAACACATTGATGGATCAAAAGCAGTGCCTTGAAATCTTTCCCTTCTCTTTCTTATGCGTTGCTTGTTGTGCAGCCGTTGCACCTTTGGCAAGAGGATTCACCCCGTTCTTGATCACTTCAAGAACATCTTTATAGCCAAACAACATTCTTCATTTTCTTGCACCATTTGTCATAATTTTTCACATCAAGGATATGTAAGTTTGTAGAGATTCTTTCATTGGAGACAAAACTCATGTTGCACATTAGGTGTTTGTGGAATAGAACTAAACTTTTGATGCCAAATGTTGGAACTTTGAACCATAGGATTGGTGAGCAATGGTGGAGAAAATTAGAATGTGGAAAGTAAAAAATGAAAATTGAGAGAGAGAGAGAGAGATTATTGCATTAACTTTTGATGAGAGTGCATCAAACACATTTATACAAGTGTTACAAACTGATTGAGATTTAAAACTAAACAATTGCATAACAGAAAAATAGCAAATCTCGAACTTGTTAACCGATTATACCATTTGATTAACCGGTTACAATTGCAATGAAATGAAACTAGCTTCAGTGTTAATCGGTTAACGACTGAGGTTAACCGATTACAACTTCAGAATTTTTCCTTTTCTACTACTTCATATGTAAAATTGACTTTGCTTTAACCAATTACACCGCGTGTTAACCATTTAAACCCCTTAAATTATTTATATAACTTGTAACAATGCTTTGGATAGAAGATATTTTAGATATCTCGCAGGCCTAAGGCTAATTTTTTTTCAAAAAGAAGCTACCATAAGAGGTTCCCAACCTCCACCATATAGACTTTAATTCTGCCGTAACAATCTTTGACATAGATAACTTCCTTGTTGAAGAGCTCAATGTAAACTATACAATAATTTATTTTAAATTGGACATTGTCCTCAATATTTCATTTGTATTGTGATGTCAATTAGATGTTGCAAAAAAAAATTCACTCTCATGAAGTTAAATTCAAAAACATGGCTCTGAAGACAAATTTCTTTGATGAAGAAGAAAATAGATACTTTGATGAAGAAAATTGGAATGTACTAAATAACTACTATTTTGTAAATTAAACATCTTGTCTCTTAGTTAAACTCTGATGTGATTGGCAATGCATATGTGCCAAGTAAAATTATTGTACCATGTTAGATATTTTATTTTTAATTTTTTTTTTAATTTTTAATTTTTTAACATTTTAGCTTTTTACATATATCTATAAATTCAGACTCTTAATCAAAGGGTATCAAGTGTTGAAAACTTTACATCACTTATCATGTGGCCCTGGCCCTCTTGAAGAATATTTGTCAACTAGTATTAAACTAAAGTAAAACAATCAAAGAAATAGACCACAGAAAATAAACAACTCATTAGTAAAACTTTGCTGTTAGAGAATGTATCTAACTTGGTAACATTTATACAAAACTAAAAGCCATTACAATGTTTCACACAGAATCCACAATACACACAATTAATAGAACAAGAAACTCTACACAGCAACTCTATATTATAAAAACAGAATTATTACTTTTTCTTTTGAAATCTAAAAGGAAAAACAAAAACTCAAAACCTGAAAACCTCAATTCTTACATATTTAATGTTCTTGCAAATGTCTTCTATTAAGTGTAACACAAGGCACACATTGATCAGTTCCTATCTCCATCTGGCTGCAAACAAAACAATGTATCGAAGCAATTAACGATTTATCGTATATATTTTTCTTAATGTTTTGTATGATAAAAAGTTAAAAACTGGTAGCATGAGAATAGTTGGTAGTACTACTCACATCATATGCAACAAGAGATCTGCAGTAGTTAGTATTGGTAAGCATTGTACTTGTCGAGCCACACTCGCTGTCTTGGAGCGAAACCGCTGATCTATCAAGCTTAATTGACCATGGATATTGGTAATTCTGAGCAGTGGCACCAACATGTGAAGATGACCTCTGCATCCTCATTGGCCTAGGTACATTTCTTCCCTCCACCGAAACTCTCCGTCGGCTCGGTTGCCTCTCAAATGAATCTGGCCTTTGTTTTGGAGCACTGTGTGATCTAACTTTAGCCTTAGATGATTCTGTGTTAGCCATGTAACTTGGATACAAAGGGTAATCATAGGACATAGGTTCTGCGTAAGACGGTCTAGGGAAGGAAAAAGGATGGTTTGAAGATGTATCGTCTGTTTTCGATACAGCAGAATAGTAATGAGGGCTGCTTTGTGCTGTACTGAAGCAATCTTCGAAATGGCGACTGCATCCTTTTGGACTCATTTCTGTTACAGCTGATGATGGAGCTGGTGATACTTTGTAGTTTTCTTCTTTTGAGTACGAATACGAACCGTTTGTGGAATATTGATGATTTACACTGCTGCTTCTGCTTGTAGAGTTACCTTTTGATTCACAAAAGTCCATTTCCACAATCTTGATGTTGTCTTCTAAGCCTATGTCCATTTCCTATATGCACAAAACCACATTTCTTTTCATCATTAGACAACTTCAGTTTTAGATAAACGAATCACACTAACACCAATCATAATTTGAGAAAATATAAGCGAGTGTATTAATCACTAGTATCCGTGTTTTGTCAGTGTCAAACACCGATATTCAGATATTCAGACACGCCTTCAATTTAAAGTTATGGAACTGACATTGTATATTTGCCTGAACAAGTCATTTTCCATGACATTTCTAGGAGTTGATTGATTTGGATTAGGCTTTCCTTCTGACACCATTCGGATCCGTTGAGCCCGAGCTCTAGCTTGTGCTGTGACCAAAGCCTGCATACATCTAAGTGTTGCCTTAGCCTGTTTTCTCACCAAGTGACCCCTTATCAGTGCCTGCAACTTCACTAATCCTCTCAGAGCTCGCAATGCCTTTCTCGCCTGTCACAAACACATTCACATAAGATAAGTATTTCGATCCTCGATCCTCGAAATGGTAAATATCAAGCAAATTTAAAGAACTAAATTGATCAACAGATACAATTTTAAGGACAAAAGTGCTGATTTATGAAAAACTAACTTCATAGTCCATACCAAGTGAGATCGAAAGACGCATTGAATTCTAACAGCAGCAGCCTCTTCAATACTTCTAGAACTCTCATTCGAACCAGAAGTCAAGCGGATCACAACGGCTGCAGCCTGTGCAGCAGCCACTGCTGCATCAGCTGCCGCCGCAGTAGCAACAGCCACAGCCATAGCATGACTCCTCTGCTCATTCTGAATATTCTGAATATTCTGAACATCAGTAACAGTTTGCACTGTCACCGAAGCAATAGCTTCAGATTTATTCAACTCCTTAGAAACCGTTGGCGTAGCGGTCGCAGACGATCTTCTAAAACTCCATCTCTTTTTCTCCTTTGCAGAACCTGAACTTGAAATCGGAGTACTTGGATTTTCATTTCCATTAGAAAAATTCTGGTTTATTGTAGATTTCTCTTTATCTTTCTCTCTTTTCCCTGTCAAGAAATTCTTAAGCCATTTAGCTTTTTTTCCCATCTCTTTCTCAAGTACTACAAAACTAACATGAATTGTAGCAACATGATTTTATTATAAGAAGTTGCTTTCATTACTATATGGTGGTTGAATGTCACATTATTGAAAATATATAAAACTATTTGACAGCATAAACTCACTGTTACATCAATTTTTTTGTTTTTCTGCACTAAATGTAAGGGTCAATATGTCATGTAAAAAGAAGAGATTCTTTGCCCTCTAAAGTGTTAAAGAATTTGAAGTTTGTGGAGGGTGTTTTGGTGATTTCAAAGGGTGGTTAATATGGGATGGAATGGATCAGAGAGCATGTGATGATAGGTAAAGAACATGCAGCATACGTGTAAATTACTCAAATTAATTTGTGTTAAGTGTTGTGGGATCCACTAAAATGTGATTGAGTAAGGGTCTTGAGAATGTGCACGTGCCCATCTTAGTCAAGAATTTATATAGATAAGTTAAGCATAAGTTATAAAGGTATGTAACACATTTTGTTTTTCATGATACCAAGACCTTGGGAGAAGTCATCATAACCTTTACATTTCATAAGGATACATCAAGATTTCTTTTTTTGAATAGTTTGGTTATTTTAGACTATGGTTGTAATTATGAATGAGGGGGTTATCCATACCAAACTTTAAAGAGATTGGTAAGCTTAGTTGGTGACTAAATGTCACAAGAGTGTTTGATCCATGTGATGTGTCCAAACATTATACCAAGTTTGGATGAGACTTGATATAGTGAACTTAGTTCAACCCCCGACCAAAGTAGTAAATTTTAGATTAATTATTTAGTTATGAATTGACTTAATTAATCATTTATGTTTAATTCTTATTAAATATTTATTATTGTTGTTGAACTTGTTTATGAATGACTCTTGTACTATTTTATTAAGTTCACTAAAAATATAAATATTAAGTGTAAACTTACATTTGACTAATCTTCCATGAGATTGCCAAGTGTGTTATATAAATATTATAATTTATCTTCATAGTGATAATTGTTGTGTTTTAAGTGTGAACGTATTAAAGTCCCAAATTAATTAGGAATAGAGAAAATGTTGGATATGTGGTGTCAAAATTTCTTAGATCTTGAATGTTGGACACATTGACACTTTTGGCACTCCTCGGACTCCCTCACAAGTGAATTGTTAGAATACTAACGCGAATAGAGATCATAGTAGAGAGAAAAACACAAAAAAAATTTTGCTCACACGAGTCAATTAAATTGTCTACGTCTGCGACTCTAGTGTATCTATAGTTTCCTCAATAAACAATTATCTCTGCCTATAATTATCTCAACAAATATGAGTTATACTCTCAACAAATATGAGTTATACTCTCAACAACCAATAGTTATATCACAAACCATAATTATATCAAATATATGAGTCATACTCAACAATCTCCACCTTGACAAATATCAAACCCCTATGAAGACATCTTGCATAACGATTCATCTTGGAAATTAGGAAGGTACACCTCCTACTTAATACCGAGAAACATGTAAATAGTCCAAACAATATTTTAAGTTGTCATTGGTGACTGACTTGGTCAACATATTAGTTGCATTCTCTAAAGTGTGAACCTTCTAAAGTAGTATCTGTTTGAACGCTAACAACTCCTTGATCTTGTGGAGTCTCACATCAATATGCTTGATCCTAGCATGATACACCTGATTGTTCTAAATAGATAACACTCTAACTATCGAAATGCAAATGAATCCACCTTTATCACACCCAACTCTTTCACTATCCGTGTAATCCACAATGCTTTCTTGGCAGCTTCAGCTACTTCCATGTATTCTATCTCTATTGTAAACATAGCTAATATGAATTCACTTGATAATTTCCAGCATATAGGTTTCCCAACAAGAGTAATGACATACCTAGTTATAAGTCTCCTATCATCCAAATCAAATACATAATTAGAACTCACATATCTGACAACTGATGGAACACCCTGCTCCATGCTGAACATGATACCACAATCCATTGTACCTTTCAAGTACCTTAGGATCCATTTGGATGCTTTTCTGACTTGGACATGAACTTACACATTTGACTATCTGCTTGTGCCAAATTCTATCTAGTACAAACCATAACATACATCATACAACCAAATGCATTGGCATAAGCAATCTTAGACATACCTTCAATCTCTGAGTCTTATTTTGGACATTGTTCAAAAAAGAACTTAAAATGATTCACCAATGGATTACTCAGAGACTTTGCTTTGCTCATGTCAAATCTGCTCAAAACATCTTCAACATAGTTTTTATGAGACAACCATAATTTATTAGTTCCTTTATCTCTGTGAATTTCCATCCTAAGAATCTTCTTTGCAGCACCCAAATCCTTTATATCAAACTCCTTACCCAACTTGGTCTTCAACTTATTTACATCGTGCAAATGGTTGGCAACAATCAACATATCATCAATCTAAAGTAACATGAAAATAAAATAGTCATCATCAATACTTCTCACATAAACATAACAATCATAATCACACCTTCTATAGGAAATCCAGAGCATGTATGAATCAAAGCGCTTGTACCACTTCCTTGGAGATTGCTTCAAGTCATACAAGGACCCCTTCAATTTGAAAACAAGTCTGCAGTGTACAATATCACGGAATCCCCCTGGCAGCTCTATGTAGATTTGCTCCTTTAGATTACCATGAAGGAAAGCTGTTTTCACATCCATTTTCTATAAATGCATATTCTTGCAAGCTACTAGGACCAATATTGATCTGATACCATCATACTGAAAATCTCATCATAATCAATCCCATTCTGCTGCGAATACTCCTTTGCAACTAGGCGAGCCTTGAACTTTTCCCCTTATTTTTCTATTACTACAACATTTTTCTTGTACACTCACTTGAAACCAATAGCTCTATTTCCCCTATGGTAGCTGAACAAGATCTCATGTCTCATTCTTTTTCATGGACTTCATCTCCTCCATTATAGCAGTTATCCACTTATCTTTCTCATGGTTAGCCATAGCCTCTAGAAAATTAGAAAGGTCTCATGAACTGGTAAGAAGAGTATATACTACTAAGTATTCAAAACCATATATCACCAGAGGTGTAATACGACAGAGCTCACTATCACGCACAATTGCATAGTATTGTACTCCACCATAATCTTGCACTCCACCTAAATATGAGCCTAGTTAATTTCGTTGTTCGACTATAATCTTCTTTGTACTCAATAGTGGCTCCTAAATGTCCACTTGAATCTTGTCTTGACTGGAATTTCCTACCTCGGTATCTGGAACAACTTTCACTTCTGACTGTTTCAACATTGACTGCTAATCAAGTATAACATCCCTGATGAAAACCACCATCCTCTTAATTGGATCCCATAATTTATACCCCTTCATACCTATATTATATCCAATAAATATGCATTATTTTGACTTGGGGTCAAGTTTAGACAGGTCCTTAATAGAAATATTTACACGTGTTTGACACCCAAAAATCCTCAAATTACTCAGATCAATGGGGTTAGTTGTCCACACCTCCTCTGCAACTTTGCCATCCAATGAAGCCTGTGGTGATATGTTGACTTGATTGCATGCCATATTGAGTGATGCTGCCCAACAACCTTTTGAAAGAGTAGCATTAAATTGAAGGCACCTTTCCTTCTCCGTTAGAGTCCTATTGATCCTCTCTACGGCACCATTCTACTATGGTGTATTCCTCACAGAAATGTGCCTCATGATTCCATTTTCCTCAAAAAAATACATTAACTCTTGTTAGTGTATTAAGTTCCATAATCAGATTACAAATATTTTATTTTCTCCCTGATTGGTTCTTAACATCAGCCTTCCACAATTTGAACTTAGAAAACACGTCAGATTTATTTTTCATAAAATAAACACAGACCTTATGAGAAAAATCACCAGTGAATGTCACAAAGTACCTAGAACCTCAAACAGAGGGCTCTTTTGTAGGGCCTTAGACATCAGAATGGACATAAACTAAGATTTCCTTGTTCTTGTGGTTCTCGGTCTTGAAACGAACTCTACATTATTTTCCAAGAACACAATACTTGCACAATCCAACTGTGAAACCACGAACACCCTACAAAATATTTCTCTTATGTAGTTCCATCATCCTATGTTCACTGAGATGACCCAGGCGCATGTGCCACAGTTTGGTTGCATCATTCACTACTACAAAAAACCCATTTAACAACAGTTGGGAAATATATATAATCACACGGGCCCAGATGTTGCTTTGTATAGTGTGGTTGTATATATGATACTTATAATCACGACCCAGTAACCGTTGTAATAAACTGGAAAGCGCGTGCCCTATCACAAGGGTTTTCCAAAAGATCGTTGTGATAAAAATAATGGTCCTAGGTTCAATTCCCAACTGTGCCGTTTTGAATTTTTTTTCTGGACAGTGCATAATATATTATAATGGTTATGATATATAACCGTTGTTACATTTTATGCACAATGAACAAATATTATTATGCTTTTATAATTAATCCCATTTTTAACCTGTATTATTGTTCACCATATCACAGCAGAAAATATAACTCAAATTTGTGATAAAGTTATCATAATAATATTAATTGTATCATATTCATAATATCACATAATTGTATCATATTTAATACACCATAACATCATCACATGAATCCAAGGTAACCAATACATCAACTATTACACCATCAGTTAATATACAAACCTAATCAACTATAACCTATTTCGTCATTGTTGTTACAACAAATACAATGAACACTACAAATAAAAAAATCCAAGTAATCTTCAACTGTTTCTTCAGGATCTTCACCTTCAACTTCAATTCGTCCTCCTTGGCTTTGTAGGTGTTAACCATCTCCTTCTCCTCATTCAAGTTCTTTACTAGTAAAAAAATTATTTGTTTTTCCCTAGGATCCATCTCCTCATACAACCAAGCAAAATGAGAGCATTTTTTGTATCCTTGAATCTTATAAATCCCACAACCATAGAAACAGCGGCCTGAGTT